TTTGACATAATCGAAAGTTCAAGCTTACTTTTATAAATTGCTCTAACAGTCTGCAAAAAATAATAGCCAGATCCAATTCGAAAATTAAGGAACAACACATCAACATAACTGAAATAGATAATTAGATATTTTAGCTTATACGTCTATTATACATAAATGCGCGCGCGAAACGTATTCTGCACTTGCGCACACCATATGCGCAGTCGTAAATGTCTTACGCGCACCGTAAAGCCTATGCATGCTTCAAAGCGGCGCATGTGCAGAAAGTTTGTAGCTTTGAGGTCCGATTAGGGTGTCCGAATTAACAAACTGTACTGTATATGTAAAAAAAAAAAAATTGTGATCCAACACTACAGTGAAAAAACAGCAGTAGACCTGCCACACTACGGAAAGCGGTCTTAAGCTGTAAAGTTCCAGTACCTTCATATGCATTTAAAACAAGATAAAAAAAGCAAAGGTTAACCGATGCAAGATTTTCCCCATGGTCTTTTCAGGCGAAGCCTAAACTCCAAGAATAATAATCAAAAATTCTACAAAAAAATGAATTATGCAAAAGACAAAAATAGAGAAAAAGAGTCTCAAAAAAGTCGAAATCGAAATTCTCGCTCGAAATTCAAATAATATCATTGCTAAGAAGAAAAGAAAAACTCGAGCAAGAACTAACGGAACATAAGAAAGTCCACACAAAAAAAAAAAAGCATGCTCTTATTCAAAGAATGGATATTAAGTATTAAAGGATTCTAAAGTGGTATAAGTTCCAAATGGAGTAAATTGCAAAAAAGAGAACATTATAAGTACTTTTGAGCAAGGAAAGATGATTATGAGAATTAAAGAAAGAAAAAAGTCAATAATTCCAAAAAAAGGAAAAATGGAGTTTATATTAGAAATGTTGGGAACAACTCAAAAGAAAATTGAGGTCAAACAAGGTCAGGAATAAAAAATAGGTAGAAAGCTCAATGCAATAATCACGCTATTTGCCAATTCTTTGAATTATAGATTTCCGAAAAAAAAAGAGAAAGAAATTTTAACCTTCTAATGAAAAAAACAAAAGTTTTGTCAAGCTAAAAGGTCTCACCTAAGAAAAAAGAAAGGGGATTAATCTAAAGTCATAGAAAAGAAAATAAAGGTAAGAAAGTTTCTCGAATTTTCCTTCAATTGTAATTTCAGACAAAAAAGTAAGTTGAAAAGGCCATGCTTCTCTATTTTTTATATTTTTTAACAATCCCTTATAGATTTAAAAACTCATTTTCTGAACTAAACCATGAAATTTACAACCAGTTCTCAACTGATAGAATATTTTATTTAAAGAAATTGTGACTTTTTATTTGAATTTTTTAATGATATTTTAAATTTTAAATACCATGTTATATTTTAAGTTCACTTGTTGCTTATTGTCTTAAAAAATCCTGCATTTTTTTCCTTCCTTAAAAAACAATTCATTTTTTCTTCCGTCATCAGGCCTTCTCATTTGTAATTTTTATCTCTAGTTTTTTGACTTTTATTTCATGTATTTTTTCTACACATTTTTATCTAAGGCTTAACCTTCCAAGTTTTTTCCCCCTTCTTATTTCAGAACTCTTAATATCAAACTTCTAATAGTTAAATCTTGTTTGATTTATCTGCCTCCATCACTTCTGTGGTTTATGACAATTTACTTTTGTTTAGAAATATAAAAATAGATGCCCCCCAACAACACAATGAAATTAATTAGAAAAGCTGAATACAAAAATTAATAGAAAGTTTGTGCTTTGAAACAAAGACAAAAAAAAAAAAATAAGATTGTGATTTTCAACGTGTGCTACATTGCGTCATCAGGCTTTTCTACTCTGCCACACTCGGTCTTCTCGGTCATCTAAGCGTTAAAAGTCCAGTACCTCATCTATGCATTTTTAAATTATTACATATTTATAAAAAAGTCAAGAAGGTAACCTGATGCAAGTTTTCCCAAAGGTCTTTGAACTCTGCTGCCTCAAACTTCCAGTGAATAATCAAATTCGTTTCCGGTGTGTGATTTAGTGCTATATTCCAAAAGTGCTCTGAAATCATAGAGTATCTGTAAGTTCAAAATCGAAACTGGTTCTCGCTCGCTTCAAATATTCGTAATGCATTTCTAATGATCGCGTAAAAAGAAAAACATCGAAAGTGCTTCACTCAGCAACCCCATGAGTGAAATAGTGTTTTGTTCACATTTTCCGTTTTTCAGTGCTCTTATTCAAAGAATGGATATTATTAAAAGTTATTAATGTGATTCTGAAGTGGTATGAAGTTCCAAATGGAGTAAATTGCATTTTTAAAATGACTGCATTATAAGTAACTTTGCATTTTAAGTTATTGTATTATGATTTATTAATGGCAATATTTGCTTAAATCATTTAAAATCAAGTTATAATTCAAAAATATTATGATTTATTTAAAATGTAGTTTTGTATTTCTGAATTGGGAAAAAGAAATTATTGAATTTGGTAAAAATTAGGTAAGGAATTAAAAGATTTTACTTAGAAAGGTTCTAATGCGAATAATATTTTTGTACTATGTTTGAATTTCTTTGAATTTATAGTTTAATTTTTAACTATATTTAAGAATGAAATTATTGTTTGAAAATTTTAAATTCTAGGAATTTCTTTAATGTTTTCAAGATAAACGTTGAAGGCTCTCACCTTATGAAAAAATACCTTTTTTTTTTTATTAAATCTAAGTATTTTTTCATAAGATAGAGTGTGTTTCAATTTTTATAATGTAATGACAGTAGTTCGAAAAAGGCCAGTTGCCTCTATTGAAGGGAACGGAGGCCTTTTCTGCAGTAACTGCTAATTTGGCAAATCTTTTGGCCACTGCTGAAGAATAAACACCAGTTAGCTCAACTGATAAACCAATATGAAGGAAATGCTAGTATTTAGAGAAAATTGTGACATCTTCAAGTTTTTAAAGAATTAAGTAAATTTTAAATGTCTTAATAATGAAAAGTTTGAAATTTGTTGTGTTTATGAATGATGTGTACAAAATTTTTATATTTTAAAATACCTTCCTTAAAAAACATAATTATGGAAATTCTAACAAACAACATGAAAGTTGACATATCAATCTGTAATATAATAGAAATATTTTCATCAACAAAAATTTGAGACTTTTATTTGAATATTTAGTTTGTGAAAAAATTTGAACTTTTACCATGTGGAACTATCAAGAATTTTACAAAATTTCATTGGACATTCTTATTTCAGAACTCTTAAAATATGCAATTGTTTTAAAAGAATACAGTGCTAAAATTATTGAATTCAAATTTTTATGACTTCCAGTGAAATGTCAAAGTATCTGTCAAACTTTTATGACAATTTTTTGTTTAAAAATTAAATAGGGGTTTTTATATGTTTTGTATTTTCAAAATTGTATTTTCACATTTTGCTGCTCTAATGCTTTTTCTTCACCCTGCTCACCCAGCCTTCTTTTAATGGGGGAATGGGAATATGTAAGCAAAATATGATAGCTGTTTTAAAAAAATATTGGCGATCTCAAAATTAACGTTCTAAATTTGGTAATCTGCCTTAAATTCATCACTTCTCACTGGTTCCAGATAGAAAAATCTTACGTAACGTTTTAATGCAGATGCCTCTTGTTCAATCAAATTAATTGTAAACCAAACGTCTGAACTGAAAATTTCCCACTCTCACCCCTTCCTCTGAAGTGCTATGATGCGTGACCCTTTTCTGTGTTAGCTGTCTTGCTGGCAAGACGCTTTTAATCCATGCTGCTGCCGCTTACATGCTTAAGATGATGTCGTACTTAAAAATGCAACTTACTGTTTTCAAATATAATTAGGAAACATCTTGTCTGATAAAGGATGATTTGATATGTGTAAAAAAATTTCTTTTGAAAATGTTTTGGTGTGCAGTGTAAAAAACCTGTCAGTTTTCATTTTTGTTTGATGGATATGATATTTAAATATTTTTTCACTTTTGTAACATTTGAGCCTTCAATTTATATAAAATTTTGGTTAGAGTAGGCTGAAGGGTACCCCTTGTATTATCGCAAAGCTGTTGTTTCATTTATCACCAAGTTGTTGTTTCATTTATGGTAACCTGAGTACTTGAATGTTCCGCAAATATACTTTTACCTAAAATTGGGTGCTCCTTCGACTTTTTAAGTGAAAATACAGTCAAAAGTCTTTAATCCGGATATCCATATTCCGGAATGATCTATATATAATCTGGATCTCAAAGCTACAAACTTTCTGCGCATGCATCAATGCATAATGCGACCGACGCAGCGCGCAATGAACTGGAAGTTGATCTATCAGCACTGTCCTTATCTTCAGGGCAGATGTTTTTATTTTATTCGGCTTATAATTCCTTACTAAATATAGTATTTCATCTCGATGTACTCCGTCTTTGATATGATTTACAAATTCCTCGTCATTATAAATATCACAAATACAAATCAAATAGTTTTCTGGTTGCAATTTTCTTAATTTCGACTATGCGTAATGTATGCTTTATGCATGCGCGCGTTGAAAGAAATGTTTAATAAAGTAAACTAATAAATATTAAGTTTTTTTTTTTTTAATTTTGATACCCTTTAGATAAAAATTGCTCTTTATTTCATAAATTATAGTTTCATATTTTTTATTTTATGATTTCTGCATGCCATCTTACCAGATTTAAACTGATGATCTATAATGCGGAAAAACTGATAATCTGGAATCGCTGAAGTCCCGACGAGTCCGGATTAAAGACTTTTGACTGTATATCGATGTGTACAAAGTCAAGGGAATGCACTATGCCAGATGTTTTTAATTCTCTGATTTTTTTTTAAGTGAAAATAGGTCGACGTATACATGGATAAAGTCAAAGGAGTGCACAATGCCTAGTCAAAGAATTTCACAAACTCGGTATCCATGTACCAGCAATTTTCGCCAAGGGGTACCCGTAAATATACCTTTACCAAAATTTTTACTTAATATAACTTATCAATAATAAAACAATGAATGTAAATTTTTATTTTAGGAATTTGATGACTATCGTGATGCTGATGATGCAGTTTTTGAGTTGAATGGGAAGAAACTTCTGGGAGAAAGGTAAAAACTGTTTGCATTATCTCTAGTATCAAAGAGCTAATCTAGTCACTTGTGTTTCCAGGAGATAAACAGGGTTAATATGGCTTGCTTTTTTCTCAAGATTGACACTTACAACCAATGCAGTTATTGACATATAATCATTAAAAAAAAAAATTCTAAAAAGTGAAGCATGTTTGTCCACAGAGTTCTCACAAGGATACAGTTGACAGTGTATAGGGTCGTCTCAGCATAGAATAGGTTTGCTGTGTCATATCTGCCAACTTTTATGAATATTTTGTAATTTTTAGGAAAGGTATCTTAATTTGATGATCCTGCAGTCAAAATTTTATTTTTTAATGATTTTTCACTTTCTTTATCAAGCTTATTCTTTTGGATTTCGGGACAGAAAAGATAAATCGTAATATTCAGACTAAAAGTGCAAAATAGTAAATAAGGCATATTATATACATTTAATTAAATTATTATATACATAATTGCAATAATTTATTATATATGTTAAATTATTATTACATATTAATTGATTATATTATTCATTGTATTATACGTACACAGCATCGAGGTTTGCTGATTTCGCTTCATGCAAAGATTTCCAGTTTCGGATTCCGGTGTTAGGAATCACTGTTGCTGTAAAATGTCAATAGCTTTTCTTTATTTTTCCGTATATCCAATTCCATATGATTCTGCTTTAAACCTAGGAGTGGAACCTGCCTCCATCTTTTGCAGAATTTGCACTTTTTATATTACCGTTAATGCAACATCTTTACGTTTTTCAATGTTGCAAGTAGTAAAATCTTGAGTACGTTTCTTATCTGTCGTTGTATTAAAAAGGGCTGACATTTAATATACTCTTAATTTATCTGCAAAATATCCGGATAAAAAAAACGGCAGCACTAAATTATCTCGTGAAATAACAAAGCTCAGAAAATACAACATAAATCATGAACTTGAAAGAAGAGTGAATCGTCTGCTTTTTTACCTCGATGCGGATTAGAGTGGAAAAAACTTTTATCTTCCATTATGACTCATTATTATTCGATAATTATGATATCATTATTCTGTAAGAATTTTTTCTTCAATATTTCGTACTCAATGTCGTGGTTTCTGGAACCTATAAACTGAATGTTTTTATATTTTGAGAGGCAACGCGGATTTTCGGTATTTGACTGTACTCTTAGCACTGTAACTGTAGATGGAGGTACTGGTGCTATGACTTGTTGCATCGGTTGGGAGTTATAGCGCTGACGAAGTACACAGTTTCTTATAACATGTTTCACATTTTGTCTAAATCTAATTATCCAGTATTTTTCATGGAGGAACATGAGAGTACTAGCTGCACCTGTATGAAGAACTCGTTCATATGAATCACATACCAGAAGATCTGTAAAATGAGTTTTTGAAGGAATAATTATAGTGTGCTGTTCATGAAAATTTAAAGTTGATTTTTAGTCCTCCTTCCTTAGCAAAACTCCTTCCTCACTCTTAGAAAAGGATTCAGTTCATAAATTTTTGAGTTTTTTTAAATCATCTGTCCAGACTTTAAACTATTAATTTCACCAGAAAAATTTTCATATTTAACTTCTTTTATCAAATATAATTCTGTGACAAAGAGTTCTGCAATCAAGGGTCCTGTTTTCTTGTCAGTTTAGGTTTTCAGATTGTGAATAAATCTAAATATCCATGCAGTCACTCTAATAGCACTAATTAATTTACTATAATTTTCAAGATTCAACAGAGGATTAAATTTTTCTGCTATAGACGGTGGTATTGTGGTATCATTTATACACTTTTTCTGCTCTTAATTCAGCGTCAGGAAACTCCTTTGTCGCAATAAATTTACTAGGCCAAGTACTCGCTGATTCAACTAACCAGTCTGGTCCAGTGTGCCATAATTTTGAAGACAACAAATATTCGGCTGAACATCCTCGAGATAAAATGTCTACTGGATTGGACTTCCCATTACAATGTCTCCAGTTATTTGGGCAAGTTAATGTTTGTATTTCAGATACTTGATTTTTTACAAACATTTTCCATCGTTCGGAAGCACTATGAATCCAGTGAACCACTATCATTCTGTCAGTCCACAGATAGATATTTTCTTCATGAATTGAAAACAGCTCTTTTAAATTTTTAGCAAGTCTTGCTGACGTTAATGCTTCTAATAAGTCTAGCCTTGGAAGTGTGAGTTTTTGTTATAATGGTGTAATTCTAGATTTTGTCATAATGAATGCTATCTGCCCTTCTTCAACTGATCTAAAATATGCGAGTGCACCATACGCCTTTGATGGATGCATCACAGAATAAATGCAGTTTAGTATCTTTATTTTGCTTCAGTTTGCCGGGGAAATATATTTGGGAAATTTCAAATTTCTTTAATTTTTCAATTTCACCGTGCCACTCGCACCACAACTGCTTACATTCAGTTATAACTTCGTCAAATTTTAAACCCAACTGCCAAAGGTTTTGAATACAAATGGCACCAGAAAACCTACTGGATTGAAAATAGTAGCATCGGAAACTTTAATATATTTCTTTTTGTAGTGTTTTTACAACTATTTAATGTTTAGTGCAAGTTATCTATGTTCAAGGAAATTACATCTTTACTCGTACACCAGTCAAGCCCTAATACTTTTACGAAGCTATTTATTTCATTTTCCGATTTAATTATTCCACAATCGTCCCAAAGTTTTTTTAGTTCCTCAAAATTTGTGCTAAACTGACGCAAATTCATTTCGACATCTTTAACCTTTTCGCGACGGCACACCTTTGTTTAAGACGCTCGTGCGGGACGGAAGAGAATCGAAGGCAGTCACCATACAGGACAGAGGTTTTGCATCGCTAAGCCTAATTTTATAACAAAAATCAGAAAACAAAAGTTTCGCTTCTAGCATCGTAATTTTTGGTATCATTTTAGATTATTACTTGAGCTCTTATATATGTTAAAATTAGCCCATAAAACATTTTTTTCTTTATTTTACATGAAAATATACTTAAAAAATTGCTTATCTTCTAAAATAATTTTCGGAAGCGCTATTCAAATTATTCCAAATATTTAATTGATAAAATCCATCAATAAAGTTTAAAATTAATAAAAAGAACACAATAAAGAAGACTATTTACAGTAAGAAGTAACAAAATTTAAAATGAAAACTAGTGTGGTAAATCTCGAAGCACAGAGAAGTATCACTTTGTAACTCTTAGAAAAAGTATCACATTTTAACTCTTTAGAAAATGAATCAGTACTCTCATTTGCGTTAGTAAATGGTTCACTAATCATACTAGGGTATTCTTCCTCTGATAAATAGCGCCTTCCCGCCATAATATACTAGAGGTGAGGCTTTCCTAAATAAAAAAAAAAAAGAAGGAACGGAAATGTATCTGAAGGCAACGCAAAACATAAAAAACCGAACATAGTAGAGGAAAAAATAGAATAAAAAAAGGAATTGGATATAAATCAGATACGAGAATGTTTTCATTAGTACGCAGCGATTTAAAGAGCCCACCTCTGTTTACGCTTTCCCTCTGCCCCCCCACCCTCGAACAGCTGATGAGTAAATACCAAGCAGAATATAGTAGAATACTCTGGGTCAACGGAACCTAAAACTGTGTTCATTATCAAAAGTAATGGATACAGGAAGACTATCTAGTGGCCTTCAGAAAAACGTTCCACCTTAAAATGCGTATACGCATCACCCATCCTCTGAATGCGATCTTTACTGATGCGTGGATGGGACGCCCGGCTGTCAGAGACGTTCTTAGGGAATGCGTATATGGGATGCCCGTCCTGAAAGGGTTAAGCACGCAGTAGGCTCCAGTACTGAACTGAAGCCTTGTAACGTCAGAACATCCGCGTTGGGTGAAAGAAAAGACAGGTTGTCTTTTAAAATATTTATTTTAAAAACTTAATAAGAAATTCTTGAATAGTAATTAAAATAATGAAATCATTTCGGCATTAATCATACAAAGGCCGCTGGGATGCTTTCACTTGTTTATAGCATCAAAAGCCTTTTACACAAAGCTGTCTCCTTGTTAAAAACCTGGAAAGAGAATAATTAGTCCCTTATGTCTAAAAACCACACTAGTGAGGTTTCTGCTCCACCTTTCTTTCAAAGGTCTTCTGTCCATTCTGTCGCTGACAAGTAGATAGTTCTCATTAAGCACCTGGAAGTCCGAGGGTGCATATATCTGAACGTCACAACTCCTCCCCATTCCTGGGGGTGAGGGTTTTCAGAACTCCAATTTTTTGCTGGGCTAAGTATCAAGGATAAACATAACAAGAACTATATTGAGGACAGTAAAAAAAACATATAATCAACATAATACATAGAACTAAAACTTAATTATACACATACAAATAAAGAACATATAATTTTCTGAAAAATGTAATATACAATATATATTCCTAAGTTTAATATTAATTATATATCTAGCCAGGCTGAAAAGGGAAATCTTGCATATTTTTAATTTTCCGTTTGTGATAATCTCTCAATGGTAACCGAACACCTGGATGAGAACTATTCCATTTGACCTCAAAATAAACATGTACATTTAATTTGGCTTTAACATCAGAAAAAAACTACTTCATTACAAGTTGGATTTACATCATTCATGAAGTAGCTATATTTAATCCCCTTTGACCCTTCAATATCAGGCACTAGTATAAATAAATGATGAACTGCAGATTCTTCTACTTTCCTTGGTAAATTTACACTACTCGGTGTCTTGGGCAATTCTCCTACGGAATTTTTAGGCATTTGCAAACCTTCTGAGTGGTTGGTACAAAACATCATTTGGTATATCTACAGTTTCTTGTTCGTGCCGAACCGAAAAAGAAATTCTTAACTTGTACACATTTCCCAAAGAGTTACTGTGATCTTCTAACACGACTAAGTCAAAAGATGGTTTTACAACATCACTTTTCTTTTGTAGGTCCGCTACAAAAGAATATTTTATTGTAGGCAGTGACAGTTCATTCATCTTCGTTTCAGGCAGAGAGAAATTGA